CTAACATGCTGCTCTTTAAACAAATTACTCTTCAGACCAGAAATCCTTCAGACCACAAATCCAGCTGGCTACTGCTGGAGTATCAAAATTCTTGGCCTGACATTCAGATCTCCTTAGTACTAACTCTAATTTAGTTCAATCTTTTATCAACACCTAACCTCTAAAATAAAATCTCCACCACTGGAACCTCTCTTAGTATGGCTTTGTTTAACTGTTATCATTAATTGACTTGGCCCTTAAGTCTGAGATCACCCATCCCACCTGATTTATCTAGTCTCTCTCTTCTTTGTACAATGTAGTGGACAAAAACAATGCTTGTCAAATTTTAATATGTATGTTAATCACCCCTTGTTAAAATGCAGACTCAGATTCTGCACTGCTAACAAAGCTCCCAGGTGATGCTGATGCTGCTGGTCTGTGAATTATACTTTGGTACCAAAACATGTTGGCATTTCTGGACCTACCATCAAATTTCTTAAATTTTAAAATATATGTTTTGATGCTTTTCCCCAATATAGCCAAAAATGATTTATATTTCTTGTACATCAAGGTGACCAACAAGGGTTGGGATGTAGTTCAATGGGAAAGCACATACGCATGCAGGAGGTCCCGGGTTCAATCTCCAACATTTAAAACAATAGATGCCAACTGAGTCTGACTTGATTGCAAGTCAGATAATTTAAGAAAACCCATTTTGTCCTAGGTGCAGATAAAATATGGAGAGAAAAGTATCTAACCTTTTGAACAAACATAGGAAAGTGAGATGTTATTACAGTATCCCTTATAATACACAGAATACAAACTAAAAATCTGCTAAACTGAAAATGAATGTGCACATATTGAGTCAAAGTTATAAGCCAACAAAAAAACGTAATAAAAAATAAATTGCATATAGTCATTTGGAACCAAAAAACCTGGGTTTGAAAATAGGAACTTTGTTCTCTGTGTCAGGTTTGATGTCTGCATCAAAACTAAATGGACGGTTGATATATCAAGAACTATGTAATGTTTTGAACAACCAACAATAAAAATTAAAAAAAAAAAAAAACTAAATGGACGGGGCTGGGGATGTGGCTCAAGCGGTAGCACGCTTGCCTGCCATGCGTGCGGCCCAGGTTCGATCCTCAGCACCACATACAAACAAAGATGTTGTGTCCGCCGAAAACTAAAAAATAAATATTAAAAAAATTCTTAAAAAAAAACTAAATGGACCAAAAAGGGTTAGGGTCAAAAAAAAAAAAAGTTTAAAAATCTGAAAATAATTTATGTGATAAATATACAACAAATAGTTTGTAGTACTAAAGACTACATTAGCAATTTAAATTTCTAAGTCTCAAGAAGTTATTACAGAGGCTGGGGCTGTAGCTCAATGGTACAGTGATTGCCTAACATGTGTGAGGCACTGGGTTCAATACTTAGTACCACATAAAATAAAGGCAACCCAATCAATAAATGGGCTAAGGAACTGAACAGACACTTCACAGAATTAGAAATACAATCAATCAATAAACATGAAAAAACATTAATCATCGCTAGCAATTAGAAAAATGCAAATCAAAACTCTAAGATTTCATCTCACACCAGTCAGAATAGCAATTAAAGAATACAAGCAATAATAAGTGTTGACAAGGATGTGGGGGAAAAGGTATACCCATACATTGCTGGTGAGACTGAAAATTGATGCAACCACCATAGAAAGCAATATGGAGATAACTCAGAAAACTTAGAATGGAACCACCATTTGACCCAGCTATCCCATTCTTTGGTTTGTACCCAAAGGACTTACAATCACATACTACAGTGACGCAGCCACATCAATGTTTATAGCAGCTCAATTCACAACAGCTAAACTATAGAACCAAAGTAGATGCCCTTCAACAGATGAATTGATAAAGAAAATATGGTACATATACACAATGGAATATCACTCAGCCTTAAAGAAGAATGAAATTATGGCATTTGCAGGTAAACAGATGGAACTAGAGAATATCATGCCAAGTGAAATAAGCCATTCCCCCAAAACCAAAGGCCGAATGTTTTCTCTGATAAGTGGGTGCTAATCAGTAGTGGTATGGGGGATAGGAAATAATGAAAGAACTTTGGTTTTTGTAGAGGGGAGTGAAGGGAGGCGTGGGGCTGTGGGGAGGAAAGGGTGGTAGAATGAGACAGACATTATTACCCTATATACATGTATGATTACACTACTGGAGTGACTCTGTACCATATACAGCCACAGGAATGAGAAGCTGTGCTCCACTGTGTACAATATGTCAAAATATATTCTACTGTTAAAAAAATTAATTTTAAAAAGCTAATGTATTATGGTCTTAATCATAATTCAGATTCAGATACTTGCATTTTCCTTGACTTCACATTGAGGCTGAAAAATCTAATTTAAAACAAAAGTAATTGTAACTTGAAAAAAATAAATCTTGTTTTCTCTCACTTGACATTATAAGCAAAAAATGGTCAACATTCTATTGAATTATGTTTAGAAAGGAAGCCAGACACTGACTTTTAAATTTAGTGGTGGAAGAGCTTCAGCAACTAAAAGGCTTCCCAAAGAAAGTTTCTTCTTTCCTTATGTTTCCATTCATATAGATCTGTCATATTCCAATTGTAAAACAATGTGAAAGTGACTTATCTCTTGTTTGCTTCTTTATCTATATAATGGAAATAAAAATGTTATCTATTTCATAAAATAAAGGCATTCTGTCCATCTATACCTATAAAAAAAATTTTTTTTTTGGTCGGGGGGTAACTGGTGATTGAACTCAGGGGCACTCGACCACTGAGCCATATCACTGAGTTGCTTAGAACCTTGCCATTGCTCAGACTGGCTTTGAACCTCGCAAACCTCCTGCCTCAGCCTCCCATACAAAAAAATTTTTTTAATTATTCCAAGACAAACTTCTATTCCTACATTTAACTACTATATTAAATCCTACTTTTATGTGCTTAGACGAATTATGTCAATAAGATTTTCAAAACAATGAAAATAAAGCAAAGCCTAACTACATATAATAAAAATTAAATTTTAAATAGTGAATTTCAGTACATTTTAAAGAATGGAATTATATGAAAAGGTAGAAAGTGCAATTTTATTTCCAGGAATGTTATAGAAATACTTGCACAAGTGCAAATTTATGTATATACAAGATGATTACAGTATTATCTGCAATTAAAAAAAACATTAAGTGTCCACCGAAAACGAAAATAAATAAATATTAAATTCTCTCTCTCTCTCCCCCCGCTCTAAAAAAAAAAAAAAAAACCAACCTATATAAGCCAAATGTACCCCTGTAATCCCAGCTTTCAAGAGGCTGAGGCAAAAGGATCTCATACTCAGGGCCAGCCTCAGCAACTTAATGAGAGCCTATGTCAAATGAAAAAAAAAAAGGCTGGGGATGTAGCTCAGTGGTAGAGCACCCCTATGTTCAATCCCCAGTACCACCCCCCAATAAATAAATAAATAAATAACAAATTTTAAAAATCTGTAAACAGCCATCAGTAAGGGACAGGTGAAATAGATTATGGGCATTTATTAAATGAAGTGTTATGCAGTTCTCAAAAATGAGGAAGGCCAGGTGCAATTGTACATGCCTGTAAACCCAGTACTAGGGAGATTGAGGCAGACACATCCTAAGTTTAAAGACAGTCCCAGAAACTTAGCAAGGTCCTAAGCAAATCAGTAAGACCCTGTCTCAAAATTCGGGAAAAAAAAAAGGTGGGGGTCTGGGGGTGTAGGTCAGTGGTAAAGTGCTTCTAGTGTGTAGCGGGGGATGGGAGGGGAGGCAGCTTTTCAACCCACATATGAAACTCTCCAAAACTCTCTCCAAAGTGAAAAAAAGCAAGGTGAAAAACTGTATAGATAATCTGAAACCATATGTATAAGAAATACATTTATTTTCTTGTGTACGTATAGAATATCCCTGAAACAATACACAAGGAAGTAAAAAACAGTGACTGCCACTTGAGAGGAGTGCTCAAGGAGAAGGAAACTTACGTTTCAATGTCCTTTCAGTCTCTTTTAACATTGTGCAGTATCATCTATTCAAAAGGTAAACTTAAAAAGTTTTTGTAAAAAATCTAAACAAATCCCAGGATGACTCAATAAATTACACAACTTTACCAAAGTGAATAATAAGACTCTACTGGTGAACCAGAGTTCTATTTTCCTTTTAACATTCCCTATCCTCAAACACTTTTAGTGAACTAGAAAATCATTCTAGGTTCTCCAAACTATCTCCACCCAGTGAGTCAGCTGGTAAATGGGTGGGTCTTACAATGGAAGTCCCAAAGCTGGCCTGCAGCCCAGAACACAGGAGGCAGCTGTTGCAAATTTATGAAGAAAAAAAAAAAAAAACAGGAAGGGTGACTGAAGTTGGGCAACATCAGATACAATTTTCCAAAACTTGCCTCTAGGTCTGGAAGGACCATTTAAATCAGTCAGTAATTTGGATAAAGAATGTGGAAAGATGGCTGGTCTTCTTCATAGACAGGAGGGAATTAAAAGTCGGCTTAAGTTTACAGTAACCAAAATTATCTCTTCTGCCTATCTAGTGCTTGAAATGCCTTTCTGACAAGTAGCTCTTTACACACATAATGTAATTAAGACAAATTAATCAAGTTAGCTCGTTATCAGCCGACAAATTACAGAGTTTAAAGACGGTGGGTTCTTTTCCTTTATAGTGGACAGCACCCATCTCCCTCTGCACCTTGGTTTTCTTGGGTGTTCTCAGAGGGCGGGCTGCAATCCGTGCACTTTGGCTGTTGGTCTCAATGAAGAGGAATCAAATCTGGAATGCTGTTTCGTAGAATAGTTCCCAAGAATCGTAAACCTAACCCAGACTACAAATCTCAGGTTTCTGAATTCTGTCTCAAGAATTCACTATGCAAAGTACAAAATTTCCCGTTTCCCTCAATTTGCTGTGTCACCAGAAAGTCTAGTCAGTCCCCAGCCAGATCTGGCTTTCAGTGCCGCTGGCGGGTTTTCCTACCTGGCCTCCCAGAAGGTGTCTTCTGCAGGGACACCCTGACCTCAGCCTCTCCACTGGTGGTCTACCTGCCAGAAGGCTGGGCGTCACTGCTCTAGGATCCCGGCAGAGCCCAGTGACACAAAGGACCAACCAACAAGATCCCCCGGTCTTCCGGCACGCCTGGCCTGTCGGCCTCCCTAGTACATGCCACCCCGACGCGACCCCGCCCTGCAGCCCGGGTTTGGAGTCGCCACCACTGCGCCGGGGCGCGGGGAACCCACGGGACCCCACCGCTTCCCGGAAGGCGGCCACCACAGCGGGCTGGGGGCGAGGTGACCCAGGCGGGAGAGAGGGCGAAAGGCGAGAGCCCAGTTCCTCACCTGACCCGGAGCAGCGTCGGAGGCCAACCCGCTCGCGCGCAAGATGGAGCCGGGGAGGGCCGGGGGAGGGCGGGGCGCCGGCGGCCTCGCGAGCCCGTTAGGATCGCCGCCGCGGCCGGGAACGCCCCCCGGGCCGAGAGGGCGGCACTCGGCGCGGCCTCTGCCTCCCGCCTGCTTCGCGGCTCCACCTGCGGGAAAGAACGCTCCCCTAGGTGGCTCAGCCGGTTTTATCACCAGCCTCGGTCCTAAAGGGCCTGCTCCAATCCCTTTTGTGTTCCTTTAAGTCACTAAGGAAGTTGCGGGGTTCTGGTTCTTGGGGTATCCCCGGATCCCCTGTAGTAGTGAGTGGCGGAGCGGGGCTGAGAAGGAGAGGCCGGTGCGACCTCTCCGTGGTCTCTTCGGGGGATGGAGACGGCGTTTATTAGCCTCCTGCGAAGTCAATCAGTGTTTACTTGGAATTCTCTAGATAGTCGGAACTGGAGATTTGCTGCTAGTCAAAACCACCTCTGAAGGTAGTTGTTGGTGATTCTAGGCTCTTCTCACACCCAAGAGTATTAAACACACACTAAAACACTGGAGACGGTTCCAAGACGATCAATATATTAAACTCATAAAGGAATTGGTAGTCCAGAGCAAAAACCAGTCAGTGGTTCTCAGAGTGTGGCCTCCAGATCAGGAACATCACCTAGAAACTTTTTAGTTAAAAATGCAAATTCTTGGGCTCCACCTTAGGGCCACTGAATCTGAAAGAGGCCCCAGTCACTGACCTAACTCCCATTTTGTCTCTGACCTATTATTTTCTGTTATCTTTTCCTTCAGTTTATCTTTAATTTCAAGATGACAAGTCTGATAGATAAATATAATGTGACTGGAATAGAAACTGCCCCCCTCACCAGTATTGACCATTTCCTTGGCCCCCACAAAACTGCAGGATAAGTTGGGGGATAAAGATCAAACAGATCAGGGACTGACCAACATTACTAGCTATGCAAACCCCCTAGACTATGCCTTTGATCCTTCCCTACTTAACCCTGAAGCTGTTGTTGACATCCCAAAGAAAGTACTTAAATATATTTTCTTGTACGGCCACATGACCACAACAGGCTGCACCATCTATTTTTTTCTACTTGGTTTTTTGGGGCTAGTAGCCAGGCTTGGTCTGTTAGTACCCTTCAGAACCAGGCCTTCCCAGAGACTCAGTAATAAACCAAACTCCCAGGGAGTGACCAAAATCTGTTTTAACAAGCCATCAGGTCTCAGCATCAGTGCGCTGGGGAAGGCCAACTCAGAGGGTGTCACAGAGCAGCTCTCTCCTCTGGATGAGGGTTGTGCAGGACTTGCCCTCTGGCACTTAAGTGCCTGCTCAGTACAGGGAAGCACGGGGAGAGGAGCTTGTGCCTGAAGTGAAGAACAGAAGTGAACAGGTTCTCAAGATCTCAAGCAGTTCTGGAACAGCTGCCAGTAAATGTGGGATCTAGGACACAGAGGATGTTTTTCCCAAAACCATAATACACCAGAATTTTCTCAACAAAATAACAGTCAGGGGAAGATAAACAAGTGGACAGAAGCCGGAGACAGGGGGCTAGGCTGGTTGCAGACTTCCTGCCCACCTGTGTCAGGTCCCAGAGGAACAGCAAGAGCCCTGCTGTAGGCCAAGCCTGACAGAGGTACCAACAGTTTCTGCCAAGGGACAGAATCTCACTCCAGGAATGGGAGAGAGTGTTAGGAACTGTGAATTAGCATTCTCAGAGATCAAAAGTGGCACCTAGTTGAAAAACAAGAGCAGAGTACCAGAGTACAGAATCCTCCAAGAGCTGAAAAGAGCTGGGAATTTAAATGGGTATGAAAAAGTTTGTAATAGTTAAAACTGACACCATTGAGGAGGTCTCAAGAAAGAGATGGAAGTCAGGAAGGAAAGGGGTGCCAGGAGCTCCAACAAATTGCAGGTGCTGGTCCCCACCTATCCAAGTCTTCCTTTCCTGGTCAGCACTGAAGGAAGAATTCACTTCCCAAGTATACTTGCTGCTGGTGTGGCCAAGTGACAATTCACAAGGGAGAGGTCAGTGGAAGTTCCGTGTGCAGATACCCTTCCTTTCTGCTGACTGGAAACCAGATGTGATGAATAGAGCCTGGGTAGCACCTTGGACCACAGGAGGGAAGCCATGTGCTGGGAGGACAGAACAATGAGATAGGAGCTTGGGGCCCAAATGGCTATGGAGATGCCACTGGGCCCATAGGCCACCTGCCCTAGGCTTTGGCCCTGGAAATGTGTCCTATCTTGTCACTATTTTGGAATAGCACTGTACTCACAGCTAGTTGGAGTCATTGTCTAAATGTCTCAGAGCAGAGAACATGTTATCACAGTCAGAACACAATAACAAAATGCTTCCAGGGCTCAGGGGGAGACATGCTGTCCTTCTCAGGAGGAAAATTGAGGGCCCACAAGATGCCCCAGTGGGTATTGCACAGCTTTTGAGGGCAGAGAACTTTCAGCCAGGATCACACATCAGACCTAATTTCTAAGCAGCCAAGCAGAGGGAGGCCTGGAAACCAGGAGTCTGTTGCACCCTGGGGCAGTGGGAGTTCAGAGGGCCTAGCCAGATTGAGGTTCTGGGGACACGAGAAATACGATGATGCCAGATGCAGCAGAAGCCACCAGAAGCATTGCAGGGGTGGTGGGTAGAGATCCTAGCATGCAGGCTGCAGCACCCTGGACCTCAGGACCCAGCTGCAGTCATATCTGGGAACAGACCAGAAGACAAAGATCTTGCAGGGTGCAGAACCTGTCACCATCTAATTTTGGGTGTCCTCTCAGGTTGTGTTCAGATCACAAGATCCAGTGTCAGTACCACTGACTGGACAGTGCTGTGTGATATGTGAGCGATGTGCTGGTGAGCTGTGAGTCCAGGGCCACTATGGGCAGGCAAGGAAAGACCCATCGCAGCACCTCACAAGGCCTGCATGCAGGGCCTGGGGCAGTTCTGGGAGTGCTACAGGTAGCAGGAAGGAGGGGGCACCTCTGCATAGCCAGGGGGGTGGACTGCCTCTCGCAAGGGATGGGCAGTGGCAGAGCCCAATAGGCCTCATAGAGATGACTGTTGCCAGCCTGTGGTAGCCTGAGGCTGCTTCACGGTCTCCTCCATCAACTGGGGCAGTGCTGCAGTTCTGCCACTGAATGGGCCTCCTGGTGTCCTCAGGTGCATTCACCGCCAGCTGGGCAGTGTCCTGCGTGGAGCAGGCTGCCACTATTGCTCTGATGATTCTGGCACTTGGCCTGCACATGGCTGTGTCAGAGAAACATCTAGAACACAGATGAAGTGCTGAGAGCAGAGGTGTAACAGTGCTATGTGTGAGGACCCATGGAGGAGCATGACATGTTGGAGCCTGGAGAGGAGAACCGCGCATGGGTCTGTGGCCCTGCGTGCTCTCAGCTCTCATCCTGGCCTTGGTTTGAGGTGGTGCCCAGTGAGTCCCCTCAGAACCTGCTGTCACAGGAGTATCCAGGGTTGTTTCCAGCTAGGTGACAGGTGATCCTCGGAAAGTCAGCATGTGCCAGGCCTGCCATGGCCTTCTGCAAGCCTGGGCCTTAAGTTATCCCCATCCTGGCCATGTGGACTCTGAGTAGATGGGGGTAAGTCACAGGCCTGATAACACAGCTGGTAGAGGGACAGACCTAGTGCACCCACCACTTGCAGACCCCCCCCCCCCCCCAGAGGTTGATGCAACACCCAGGAGCAGAGCAGCCACTTTGCAACCACTAAAGGGAACATGGGAATTGGAATGGAGGTGGACCTAGGCTGATGGAGCAGCCTCAGTACCCTGGGCTACAACCTCTGGATGGTGCACCACTCACAGCAAAGCCTATTCCCTAGGAGGCTCTTGTCCTGAATTGAGCTCAAGCCTGCCTGGTGTGTGTAGTACTGAGTCCACCCAGGGAGTCAGTTGGTCCTGCTATTGGTGCAGTGGGCAGTGCTTAGAACCTTAGGGGCTCCAGCACTGGTTTCTGTTTCTAATAACATGACTCAGAGCAAATAAACATGCTGGTATCAAAAACAAAAAACAAAAACCCATCAGGTCTGATGTTTCTGATGCAGATTTGAGAATTTTTGTTATACTGGGTACACAAGAGGTTAGGCTTTATCCATCAACATACTCCACAAATACTGAAAGGGACTGAAATTAGAGGGCCCCTCTAAAATTAAGAACCTCCTCACGGAGCCTGTAATCCCAGTGGTTTGGGAGACTGAGGCAGGAGGATCACAAGTTCAAACCCAGCCTCAGACACTTAATAAGGCCCTAAGCAACTTGGTGAGACCCTGTCTCAAAATGAAAATATAAAAAGGGCTGGGGAATGTGGCTTAGAGGTTAATTGCCTCTGGGTTCAATCCCTGGTACCAAAAACAAACAAAACACAACCTCCTCAGGCTGAGAATAGAAGCATAGCAAAGCCAAGAAAGCTGAAAACAAAAATTGCCCCTGCCCTGGCCTAACACAGGCTAAATCTGCATATTGGCATTTTCTGCCTTTTGTCCCATTTCACTCCCCTCTTCAGGTTGACTAACAACAACAACAACAACAACAAAAATATATATATATATACACACACACACACACACGTATATGTATCACATGGCTTTTACTTTTGTTCACATAAATTGAAACTGCTTCTGTGGGACCTGTGGGGAGAAGCAATCTAGCTGTTCTTCCACTACAAAACTTTCATTTTAACTTCTTTTTTTTTGTCTA